ATGTTATTTTTTATTTTTTTTTTTTTTTTGGGTGGGGTGGTGGGGGTTGTTGGTATTGTGTGGTGGGGTATGGGTTTTAATAATGGGTTTTAATAATGGGTTTGGCCTTATAATCTCAGGATGGTTTATGGATCAAGTCAAATGGAGAGTAATGATATCACACACAATGTTGCAAAACAAATAGCATTCTAATGATGGTGCTTTGTGACTACAGTATATAGAAATATTAGGCATATGATACAATATCTGCATGTTTTGGCAAATGGCCAACAACTAGGTTAAAGTTCATGGCAGTCAATATGTTAATGTTAGTATTTTTTTTATCTTACAAACTGTCTTTCATTAGTAGAAGTAGTGAAGAAATACAATGTTGGTTATATCTGCACTGTTAATAACAACATCATATAGCTTTAACATGTTTTAATTTAAAACTCTAGGTGTTAAAACCTTCCATTGGATGAAATGATGCAGTAGATAGCATTTTAGCCAATAGTACATCTTGATACAAACCATTTATTCATTCATTTATAATTTCAGTTACAAATTTTGGAGAATTTTTAAATATAGGAACCAATGATTGTGTTCGTTTAAATATTATTATAAGCCCAGGCTGTAACTTTTTAGTGTTTTTATGCAAAATAGTTTACCCAAGATATAAGCCTATCCCCTGAATTCAAAGGTTTGGAATGATAATTTTATTCTTTGTTAGACCCGACTCTGCTTAACTTTATGTAAAACCTATGCTAGACCTGTCGAACCAACAGTTTGTCGTATCTAAGGGATGCGAGGTAGAACATTCCCCCTAAAAAAAATTGCGCTCCCCGCAAAAAGAATCACGCTTAAGTAGATAATATAATAGAGAGCAGCTTAGCTGAGTTGGCTCAACCGGTAGTAGCCACTGTGTGTGCGCTGAACCGTGGATATCTCTAGGTCCCTGGTTTTATCACCATCGCTGCTCTCCTTGTTTTTACAGCTGGAAGGCAGAAATGCAAGTTACGGTAGCGCACCGCCTTTCGGATGAGACGTTTAAGCCATTGGTCCCGTGGGCATTATGGCCCATGTGCACGTTATAGAACGCAGTACAATCTTTGTAAAAGAGTAGGGGATTGTCTCCTGGTACTGCCCAATCACCACCAGAAGGACCCCGTAATTCATCTTCTAGACTTTCGTGGGTTATCCTTGGAGGAATTAGGTATTTGTAATGTATATATTGTGGTTGCTTAAAATGATAATTAAAAGATTAGATAAGTATAGTAGGATTATTTTTTAGATAAATATCATTTAGTTTAAATTATTGAGAAGTGATTGTGCAATTTACATAATAAATGAAGCCAGACTCCGAATAAAACAGAATCAATTTACTAGCTACTCTGTTGTGCTCTCTCCACCAAATAATTTTCTTTGACAAAAACTGCCTATATATGGTCATGATGTGATGTCATCATAACCATATTTATTCATGAGATTTTCTTGCCAATTAATACAAATTATTGTTCTTATATTCTTTGAATAGGTACTTAAGTTGTTTTTAATAAAATTATTTTGATACTGAAAAGTACAGTAGCCTTTTACCAAACTATCAGGGCTCATAGGCTTATCGCTAGTTTCTGTAGCATGAAGTGAAAGTGATGATTCCCGTGGATGGGACGCTAGTCCAACGCATGTTGCTCCCAGCAATTTGCTGTACCCCGAACACAGCTTGGTAGACTGAAGCAATGTAGTTAAAGTGCTTTGCTTAATAACTAACTTTGATTTTTTTAAATGAGCAATCAAATTGACTATTTTTCTCGATTTGACATCAGATTTATATTTACTTTGTTCTTTTCATTTTTAAATGTTATTCAATATAATTTCTTATTTTGGTTTTCATTATATTATGAGGAGTGATCCATCTAGTAGTGATTTATTTAGTAACATACTCATAGTGATGGTGTTTTTTATGGAGGGCTCATTGGAAATCCTGCTACAGGCCTGGATATGGGACAATGTATTCGTTATGTGTTGGTACTGGTGCTACACTGTGGCTGACTCCTAACAGGATATTGAGGGGTAAATTAAAATAAATACAATTTTAAATACAAAAAATAGTGCACAAAAATTATACAGTTCGCCCTCCAATTCGAGACCACTTTTGGAACCAGAAAATTTGGAGCGGTCTCGGAGTAAGGTCTCCACTATAGAGCATTACCTTAGTTTAATAGATTGAAGATTGTTATTTGGTTCTCGAATTAGAGGGGTCTCGAATTGGAAGTTGCACAGTATTACAGTTGCTGATGGAAAATCTGTAAGAACAGAGATTCATGAAGATGGTCAACCAATGTGTGTTTTTGTGTCTTAGTGTATGCAAATGCATGTTGCAAACATTGTAAAAAAAACAATTTTTGAATAAAAAAAATTGGTGGTAGAACAGTTTCTTCTTGTTTATATGCTCCACTTCCTGACAATACTTCTGTATTTTAAGCAAATATTTGAAATACTTTAAAGTATGTTAATTATAAAATGGCTTCAATACAAATCAAAGACTTTGTGTTAACTTTGGTGCAGATTTTTAACATCTTACTAATTGTAATTATTTTGGGGTTTTTTCTTTGATGTCAATCGAAAAATATTTGTATATGAAATAAATATGTTTGAATAAATATTTTTGTGGAGTGATTCTTAAACACTTATATCAACATATGTGGCAAGGACACGCCAAACCAGTCAATCCTCGCAAATCGTGTTATGGAGGTAAAAGCCAAAACATGTTGAAATGTCAAAATTTTTGAAATCTATTTCATTGCACAAAACCTAAACTTCCTCATTTTTAACAATTTGGTGGTCTCTGATTAATAAATGTATGAAATTATAAACTTTCAATCTGATTTTTTCCAAACAATGTTCTTTAAACAGCTGTATGTGTAAATTCTTGTAACGTCATAACTAAATGTTTTATTTGAATGATTCGTTTACCATAATAACTTTTATTTTACTTTTTAACCCTGTATTATATTAAAAATCCATTTTTACGAGGAGTTGATTGGTTTGGCTGGTCTTTGCCACATATACTGACAAAATATTGGAAAGCAGTGAAATGACGTTTAAGAGGCTTTGGAAGGAGAGTTTGGCTAAATATATACATACTGTAATTATAAATTAAAGATAATATATTTTTGGCTGAACGATGCTTGATCTCACTTATGAAGTAAGCTCTTTCTGACATCAAACACTGAGCCAAGGAAAGGTAAAACACGAAACTGAAACAAGCACTATGCTATCATATAAAATTGAACAAATATTCTGATATAAATCTTGCTCTTACTAATAAATTGAACAGATATAACTTCACGATAAATTACTCAATTTATTGACTCAATTTCATACCAATAAACTAATTGTTTGACCTGAGCTTAGTATATTATCCTGGTTTCCATTTACTAATACAAGTTTTCATTGGGCATTTTGTTTCAAAAATGATTGCGCCCGCCCACACTCGTCTACATTGTAATCAAAGATCTTTTAAACACAAGATAGCATTCTCCGCGATTTACACGTAACAAATAGAAGCGTCGATTTGGCACAGAAAAGTAATCAGTTTTGGGAGAGCGCGTCCTAGTCGTTGCCATGGATCTGAGATAGGGTGTTTGCAGTACGCCATAAGTTCATTACCAAGTGCATTAATTTGTTCCTTAAATTCTAAAGAGAGGGCGCATTGTAAATTGGACGCTTCTAATGGACCTTTCCGCTAAGCCCCGCCCCTTGGATATTGTTGCTAAGGTCCCACAAGACGACAGTGTTAAAACATACGCGAACACGTGCGTTTATGGGACAACACGTGTGTTTGTGAGACGCGCGCGTATCCCTAGCGCTGTTCTGATTAGTCAGTTGATAAGTTTGATTGACACTCCGGAAAGGTCTATTGTTAGTGTAAACGTAATGTCGCGCGGCGTACGCTATGGTCAAAGCGGTCAAGGTTTAAAAGTTTTCAATTTTGCAAGAGTGTGCCGTTCAGGCGTTATTACAGAATTTGCACGCGTAAATCGCGGAGAACGCTATCTTGTGTTTATAAGATCTTTGATTGTAATCTACTGTACACTATACAGTATTTTCCTATTACCTTAGAACATGTTGGTTGTTCATATGATATGTTCACAGTATCAACTTTTCAAAAACTCTTGTAGCTAGAGTTGGGAATGGACTTCTCCCATCTTTTAGAGAACAATTAGACCATCTGTCGGGGAAAAGCTGGCGCCACCCCTTGTTTGCCAAACAACAATTCAAAGTGAACAGGGCATACAGTTAAAACTTACTGAATGCATATAAGTTAGTATTCGAATATTCCTATTAAATCCCAATAACTACTTTACAATGCTTACAGATAAATATTTTTTTTAAATGTAATAGTAGGCTATCGGAACTACGTTGTTTATATTTAGGGATGGTACAGAGCGAAAGATGTTATTTGGTAACCAAAAATTATTACCGAAAAGTAATGCAATAGCATATACAATGGTAAATACAAAAGAAGAACCTGAAATGACAATAAAGCACTTAATTACTTAAAAGGAAAAATAATACATCAAAATTAAAATATACATACACAGTATAATGTAAAAACTCAATCTGGATTTATTTCATAAAAT